TTGAGCGATGCTTTCTCCTTCGTGAGGCCAAAAATTATATATATAATTGCGATCGCGATGAACAAGATGCATAGGATAGTACTCTGATGAAATTCCAATTTCATTCGTTTATAGTTCCATGACTTCGTATCATCACATAGCCTGTACCATGTCGATGCATCTCCCTTCAAAGATAAAGGGAAGACCTTCTTCTTAACAACATCATCGGGTATACCTGCAAGCTTAAATAATCCGCAAACTTTATCCACATATATTAGGTGCTCATCAGGATGCTTTGTTCCATCTCCTACAAAAGGATTATCTAGCAGTTTTTCTAACATACCCGAAGGAACTTCAAAGGGAACATTTTCATTTTCAGTAGGTTCAGTAGGTTGAGGAGCAACTCTTTGCTCTATTGGTCGGGGTGAATATACCCCGAACAAGCCCCTCAGAGGATTACTTTCCATAGTAACAAGTGACAGTAAATTTCAGCACACTATATAAATTTTTTCCTTACCAAATTCCACCTACCAAAGGCGCTTCACTCCCCGGCAACGGCGCTAGAAAAGAGTCTTAATGACCCACAAGTATATGGGATCTTTCGTAGTCCTTTCGATAAGTAAGAGTGTCGAACCCAACGAGGAGCAGAAGGAAATGATAAGCGGTTTTCAGCAAGGTATTCTCTGCAAGTACTGAAATAAGAGGTAATAGATAGTTTTGTGATAAGATAATTTGTAACGAGCAACAACTAACAAAAGTAAATAAAGTGCAGCAAGGTGGCCCAATCCTTTTTGTAGCAAAGGACAAGCCTAGACAAACTCTTATATGGAGAAAAGTGCTCCTGAGGACACATGGGAATATCGTCAAGCTAGTTTTCATCACGTTCATATGATTCGCGTTCGGTACTTTGATAATTTGATATGTGGGTGGACTGGTGCTTGGGTGCTATTCTTACTTGAACAAGCATCCCACTTATGATTAACCTCTACTGCAAGCATCCGCAACTACAACAAAAGTATTAAGGTAAACCTAACCATAACATGAAACATATGGATCCAAATCAGCCCCTTACGAAGCAACGCATAAACTAGGGTTTAAACTTCTGTCATTCTAGCAACCCATCATCTACTTATTACTTCCCAATGCCTTCCTCTAGGCCCAAATAATGGTGAAGTGTTATGTAGTCGACGTTCACATAACACCACTAGAGGCTAGACAACATACATCTCATCAAAATATCGAACGAATACCAAATTCACATGACTACTAATAGTCCTCAGGAACAAATGTAACTACTCACAAAGCATATTCATGTTCATAATCAGAGGGGTATTCATATGCATAAAGGATCTGAACATATGATCTTCCACCAAATAAACCAACTAGCATCAACTACAAGGAGTAATCAACACTACTAGCAACCTACTAGTACCAATCCCGGACTTGGAGACAAGAATTGGATACAAGAGATGAACTAGGGTTTTGAGAGGAGATGGTGCTGGTGAAGATGTTGATGGAGATTGCCCTCTCCCGATGAGAGGAGCGTTGGTGATGACGATGGTGATGATTTCCCCCTCACGGAGGGAAGTGTCCCGGCAGAACAGCTCTGCCGGAGCCCTAGATTGGTTCCGCCAAGGTTCCGCCTCGTGGCGGCGGACTCTCGTCCCAAAAGATTGCTTATGATTTTTTCCTCGACGAAAGACCTCATATAGCAGAAGATGGCCATCGGAGAGCCAACAGGGGGCCCACGAGGCAGGGGGCGCGCCCTAGGGGGTAGGGTGCGCCCCTACCCTCGTGGCCAGGTGGGTCCCCCTCTAGTGTACTTCTTCCGCTCAATATTTCTTACTATTTGCAAAAATGACTTTCATGGAGTTTCAGGACTTTTTGAGTTGTGCAGAATAGGTCTCTAATATTTGCTCCTTTTCCAGCCCAGAATTCCAGCTGTCGGCATTCTCCCTCCTTATGTAAACCTTGTAAAATAAGAGAGAATAGGCATAAGTATTGTGACATAACGTGTAATAACAGCCCATAATGCAATAAATATCGATATAAAAGCATGATGCAAAATGGACGTATCAGGATCCGATCTCCTGCACCGCTGGCGATCCCGAGGCGGATCCTTTCGCCTGCGCCGCTGCCGATCTCGAGGCGGATCTGTCTCCTGCCACGGGACACATGGGATATAACCCAAATTTTGCACCATTTGCTTCATTTTCTTTGCAGTTTTCTCCTGTTTCATCAACACAGATCTCACGCATGCCATTAGGTGAGTCAGTCAACAAATGATCATCAACATTTTGTCCCCCTTGATCAAAAGTAGTGAGATGAGGTGGTGAGAGAAGAATTTCTTCTCGAAGACGTGCACCGGCATTAGGGTGAAGATCAGCGAAAGGAAATTTAGTTTCATCAAAGACTACATCACGGGATATGTAAACACGTCCCATGGAGGCATCGAGGCACTTGACCCCCTTATGCTGAGCACTATAGCCAATGAAGACGCACTGTTTTGATCGGAACATGAGTTTGCGAATATTGTAGGGACGTAGGTTTGGCCAACACGCACACCCAAAGACACGAAGAGACTTATAGTCTGGTTTGGTGTGAAGAAGCCGTTCTTTTCATGATTAATGCACGACTCGGTAGCATGTTTATGATATGAACGGCAGTGAGAAATGCTTCATCCCAAAATTTGAGAGGCAGGGAGGCACCTGCCAAAAGGGCAAGGCCAACTTTAACGATGTGTCGATGTTTTTGTTCGGCTGGCCCATTTTGCTGGTGCGCATGAGGGCATGGCACGTGGTGTGAGATACCGAGTGTCTGGAAGAAGGAGTTTAATTTTTCGTACTCCCCTCCCCAGTCGGATTGGACATCAATGATCTTGCTGTCAAATTTTCGTTCAACGAGAGCTTGAAAGTTTTTGAAAACTTGAAACACATCAGATCGTCTATTTAAGAGATAGATCCAAGAAAAATTGCTATAGTCATCGATGAAGCTAACATAATAATCGTGTCGACCAACAGAGGTGGTGGCAGGACCCCAAACATCAGAAAAAATTAACTGTAATGGTTTGGTAGAAACACTTGTAGAAATTGGGTAAGGAAACTGATGACTTTTAGCTCTATGACATGAATCAGAAATTGTTTCATTATGACGCTCACCAACAAATGGGAGCTTATTTTTCTTGAGCAACCTTTCAAATAAAGAAAAAGAAGCATGTCCTAAACAATCATGCCATCGTGTGGAGGAAAGCTTGATAGCACACTTGTTTATTTTGTCTTCTAAACTCCGGAATCAACGGATAGAGGCCACCAACACATCCACTGTGATAGAGAATTGTCCTCGTTGCCTGATCCTTGATCAAAAAGAAGCAAGGTTGAAATTCAAGAAAGTCATGATTGTCAAGGGCAATTCTATGGACAGAAAGAAGACTTTTGTTGGCACTAGGAACATGCAAAAAAAATCGAAGATGAATGTTGCGATTAGGGGTACGAAATATTGAGTGACCAGAGTGACGTATACTCATAGCTTCTCCGCTGGCAGTGTGGATTTGATCCTTGCCGCGGTACTTCTCCTTCATGGTAACTTTCTCGAGCTCGTTGGTGATGTGGTTCGTGGCTCCGCTGTCGACGTACCAGTTTGTGTGAACGCCATAGGAGCCATCGGCAGCCGCAGCGACTTTCTCCTCATCTTGTGAGTCGTAGTCGTCCTCCTCATACCGGTACCAGCAATCCTTTGCTGTGTGCCCAGGCTTGCCGCAGATCTGGCACCGGGGAGTGTCTGGGCGGTTCCTGCCGCCACCACCAGCACCGCGTCCACGGTGACCGCGGCCACTAGATTAGGGTGGCGTGGCACCACAGTTGCACCGCCAGACCTGCCCTTCTTGCGAGATGGACCGCGCGAACGGGAGCCGCCGCCCCGCCCGCGAGTGGCCACATTAGCAGAAGATTTGAAGCCGCCGCCGCCAGATCCTTGAAAGTGAGCCATGCGCTGATCGAAGTTGGAGAGCATAGCAAAGAGCTCATCAAGTGTTACCTCGGTGACGCGAGCGTCGAGGGCAGAGACCAGGGGCTGATAGTCGGCGTCGAGCCCATGGATGATGTAGGAGGCGAGTTCGTCATCGGGGATCGCCTTGCCCGCGGCGGCCAGCTCGTCGGCGTAGCCGCGCATGGCGGGGAAGTAGGAGGCGACAGAGAGGTTCCCCTTCTGCGCGTTGATGAGGGAGGTTCTGATGTTGTTGATGCGGCTGGCAGATTGCGAGAAGAACATGCCGGCGAGCGTCGTCCAGAGCCTGCCCGCGGTGGTGACCGTGGTCACCGTGAGCAGCACCTCGCGCGTCAGATTGTTCAGCAGGTATCCGAGGACCTGTTGATCCTCCCTGACCCAGAGTGGGTGGAGAGGGTTGGGCGATGAAGTCTCCTTGCCGTCTTTGGTGGTGACAAGGAGTCTCGCCGGCTCCGGCTGAGTGCCATCGACATAGCCGAAGACACCGGCGCCACGCAGCTAGGGAATGACTTGCGTGCGCCATAGCACATAGTTTGTGCGCGTCAGCTTATTGGTAACCTGGCCATTGAGGCTGGTTTGGGAGGCGCTGGAGGAGGAAGACATGGCTAGGGCTAGATGGAGTTCGTATGGAGCTTAGATGGGAAAATGATGGCTCTGAGTACCATGTGCGATAGCTGGAAACGTCTTTTCCTGTTGAGGCCGACGGGTTCGTGTTATATAGCGTGGGGTGCACCTCCCAACCATAGCGCATACATTGTTGAGATTACATATGAGAGGGAGATATTCAAGGAAGGGATAGAACTTGGAGAGAAAGGAAAAGGAAAAGAAACCTATCTCTATCTATCTATCCGAACTACCTGGTGCGCGGGGGTGCAACATATCATGTGTTTAACACTCCCTACCTTGTACAGTACCAAGCTAGTGCATTGTACTATTGATTGATTAAATTTCAATCCCAGTTGCGAGCCACAAAAGAAAATATATAATCAATCATCAACTATAAAATTCACTGAACGCATCTAGCGTGCTAGACTAGCTGATGCCATGAACTCTTCCTGCAGGTCGTAGCAACCTTGGCTGTCTCTTGACTCTAAGTTGTATCTGCAATCCACTAACGTGGCTGACGACTGGAAAGCAACTTTAACTCCTCGAGTTAACAACATTGGTTGTGTTTGTTCTTCATTTATTACATTCGCTTGACATGAGTTTGCCCTTCTTGTTCGTAATATCTGCAACTCAACCTCAACTTGTTTCATGGTGGGTCTTTCTTCACCACGCAGTCTTAAGCACAACTCTGCAAGACTGGCAACATCGATGATCTCATCCTTAGTTGCTTCCTCAAGGACTTCAGAGTTCAGTATGTCGGCGATCCCTCCCTCGTTCAATGCCCTTATAAAGTAGTGTGACAAGTTCTGCATTGTGCCTGATTCACTCCTGATGATAGGCTTCATTCTAAGAAGCAACTCCACTAGTACCACACCAAAACTATACACGTCACTCTTCTCATTTAACTGCCTGGTATGGAAGTACTCTGGATCTAAGTACCCAAATGTACCTTGCACATTTGTAACAATGTGTGTTTGATCAACTGGAACCAATCTAGAAGCACCAAAATCTGAAACTTTAACTCTGTAGTTCCCATCCAGGAGTATGTTTGACGATTTCACATCACGAGGGAAGATTGATATTGAAGCCGCTGAGTGGAGATAAGATAGTGCTCCTGCTGTTTCCGTGGCAATCCTTAAGTAATCATCCCAGGACAAAGAAAAACTAGTGCTTGAGTCAGCATTTAAGACTTGAGACAGTGAGCCACAAGATATATATTCATACACGAGCAGTGGAACCTCAGTTTCCAGACAACACCCAAAGAGCTTCACAATGTTTCTATGATTTACTTGTGAGAGGATAGCGACCTCATTGATGAATTGAGTGATCTCAGCCTTTTTAATGACCTTGGACTTTTTTATTGCAACCACACGTTGATCAGATAACATGCCTTTATAAACCATGCCATGCCCCCCAGAGCCAATGATGCGGGCCGTATCAAAGTTGTCTGTTGCTTTCTCTAGCTCTTCTAATGAGAAAATCTTTGTTTTGTCATTTGCACTTTCATCAGATGATATCAATGTTTCTAGGAGAAGACCTTGGTTATTCCGAAAATAATTCTTCCGTAGTTGTCATTGAACATTTCTTTTCCATATACGAATGAGAAATACTGTACCAAAACTCAGAGCTAGAATGCTGAAGCCACCAGATGACCCAATGATAATACCTGAAGGCATTAAGCTCTGTAAGTTTCTTTTTATCCTTTTTATCAAACATAACCATGACTTAGTCTTACCTGAAAGCAGAATATGATGTTTTGTTGTTGTACACTGCATTTTGTGTAGATCGTACTCGGTCTTGTGAGGACATTCAGTACAATAGAAGCTTCCTTCAATATTATGGCATATCCCTTTACAAATGTTTGGTTGAAGGCATTCATCAATATCTGAAATTAACAATATCTCGCTAAGATGCGCCAATAAACAAATATAGGTGGATACATATTAGTATATTACATAACATAGAACGCAATGGATCATCCAATTAATATGGAATACAACATGTTAAGAAACCTACACAAATGATATTAATCAAACAGAAACTAGAGAAGCAGTTTTGGGTGTAATGTTCAAGGCACCATATGTTTTAAAATTAGCACACACCTAATATAAGCTCTTGGGAAAGTTGAGATGTACTCACTCTTTTTCTTTCTATGTGTCCACAACTCACCATGTGCACAAATAAAGAAAGCACAGATATAAAAATGATTTAAATTAAGAGAATATACCTTGTCAAAACGATATACTATTATGATCACTTTACCTCTTCCAAAGCATTTAAACTGGGGTAGAGGGTGAAAACAATGTAATAAGATGGCATGGCATGGCATGCTGCTGAGATCTACCAGAGGTATTAATAATATGGCATTTAGCCATAACTCATTTTTATGCTGAAGAAAAGAACATGACATGTGCATATGACATTCTTCGCAGCGTAATAACCACTTGGACAATACACAACATGAAAGCTCTTAAATATAACTGTTAAGAGCTCTGAGCTGAGCGAGGGACAATGTGTGTAGTTACCTTGACAACCACTTTGGGTGTATGGATTTCCTCGGAAACCATCCGAGCATTTACAGCGGTACCCAATGTAGCTCCATTCACCATCTACTGCTACACACTTGCTGTTGGTACTTACACAAGCATAACCAGATATATTCCGTTGGGCCTCTATGCAACTTAGATTAGCTGCAACCCACTGCATAGAATAGAAGTAGCCATATCCAACAAAAAGAGCACGCCTGCTAAATATGTGGTAAAATGATGCACCTTGTTGGTCAGGCCAGATGGACTTAATGGTCCCTTGGTAAACATTCAGGTCCATAACCTGGTCAAGCCCAAACATTAGGACAGCTGATGATGCCATATTTGTACAGTTGAGCTGGAATTCTTCCCTGGCAAAGCAACCCTCTTCTAAGCCGAATGGGTACGGCACACTAATGTTACCACACGAACGGGTACAATTAGCTCTGCTTGGAATTGGATTATACCCTATAGTTTGACCAGTAGAAGGTTAGAATGCATTCAAGTTCTAATGTCCAAAATACCTAATCACGGCTATGTATTTTTCTTTTTTTTTGATTAAAAGAGGGGGTTTCCCTCCGATTTCATTAATGAAACCAACGGCTATGTATTTGGTCGCCTGATTAAGAAAGAAAGTTTACCTTTGTCTCTGGAACAGCCATCTTGAATGAAGGGGTTGCCTGCATAGCCGGCACTGCAGATGCAGTTGTAGCCGTCAGTTGATGTCACGCTATGGTCGCCGCACAAGGAATGCTTGCCGATACAAGCATACCTTGTCCTGTTTCGCATGGCGCTAGCACAATTTTGTTGATCCACTATATTCCACAAAACTGTGCCGCCGCCACCATCACTTATGCTGATTCTATCCCACAGCATAGAGGTCTGGTTTGAGCGTGTTCCAGTGCTAGTTTTGCCGTGGTGGTGGACAAATTTAAGTTGAAAAGCATCAGGAAGCAGGCCAGTGACAGGAAAACTGCAACATCCAATGCCACTGCACTTGAGCCTAGCCATGGTCTCTGTGATAACTTGGTCCGGGCACACAGTCGTACAGATCCATGTTGTTCTGTGTGTGTTGTTGTTGACCCAATACACATCCAGGTCGCAACCAGTGATGTTCAGAATGGTTTCCCCACGGCTGAAGGATCTACCAGGAGGTTGGAAAGACAAGTAGTAGACATGGACACCAGATTTCATGGGGATGGTACGCCAGAAGGAGGTACTGATGCTTTTGTGAGTGTGGTAGTAATCCCCACCGCTACCAACAACGATGTTGTCGATCACCTCGGTGATTCCGTCGCACAAGAAGAGCCTGGGAGGCTGAGCAGTGTCATTGCAAATGAGGCTGAAGTCAGGATCCCGAGAGCACCTTGATCCCATGCCAAAGGGGTAGTCGAAGCTCAGATTGCCACAGCTCTTGGGGCAACCATCAAGTGTGGCAAGTGATGGATGTGCCCAATTCCCTTCTGGGTTGTGGCTTGTTACAACTCCAGATGCTAGCACCATTAGCTTTCCTAGTGAACCTAGTAGCAGCAGAGAGAGTGATGCGTACATCATCGGCAAGAAGCCCATGATCCACACACCTTTCACAGCTCCAAATTTCACTCGAAATTCAAGTTCAGGCTGGAGACTTAACAGTGGGTATGTGGTGAACGTCTCAGCTGGGAGGCCTTCTCTTGTAATGTACCACTTTCATGACTGGCAAATTTATGGTGGCATGGCGAAGAACAAGAAAAGTAAGGACTCCAGTCCAGAGGATGTTGATGTGGTTGATTTTTTCTTGTGGCGTTGCTGCCGCAGAGTGACCTCTCAAGTCAGTCAATGCCTGACTTCTTGTGCAGGATATTCTAGCCCATCGAAGGGGGTGTTTGACAAGTCTTTGACAGCCGGCTCATTTATTCCCAGAATAAATCGCATTGCATTATTGCCTGGCTTGTGGTTCATGCTGCAGAGATAGACAGTGAATGCCATCGACAGTGAGACCCGGCTGCCAATCTTCAGTGCCACCTAGTGAAGATAAGCTAACTGATCGCTTCCAACCGAGATAAGCTGCAACGGAGGGCAGACTAGTAAAGTGAATATTGTGCACAGAGTAAATCAACCATGCCCTATGCCAAGGAGTTCCTGACGAGCCAAGGAGTTCTTTTTTTTGGAAAAGGAGGAAGACCCCCGGCCTCTGCATCTGGACGATGCGTGCAGCCACTTTATTAATTATTCATAAAAAACCTTACAAAAAAATACAACAGTAAGTCTAAAGCCACCGTCTAGACAACATTTGCCGCTGCTTCCTATCCAATTGATGAAGGGATGCTGATAGTCCGGGTCTAATACTACAGACCTCGCAGCCAGTGGTGGAGCTAGCCCGTCCATGGAGCCGGGGCAAAATACAAAGGGGTGTGCTCCATAGGCATTTGCCCACAAAGACTGGTGATTAATTCTCAGTCCCTTAGTGTAATTTAATGGAAGTATTTGGGCAGAGCCCGGGCAGCTGCCCAGGGTCGCTGGGAGGGTGGCTCCGCCACTGCTCACAGCCAAGGCTAACATCTAAGACCTGAGGCCCCAACCTAGCCACTTGCCGGGTCTGGGGCACACATCGGTCCGGTGCGCTCTCAGAGACCGCCGCCGCCAACTGCCACCGCTCCATCTTCAGAGTTGTACTGAGCATCAACCTTGCTCGGTCTAGCTGTCGTCGATGCCACCATGGTGCCCAACGGCAACACCTCCCTACGCGCAAACAGCTAAGCACGTCGCGGTTGCCACCGATACACCTCAGCACCATGCTGCCAAGTATCACCAGCCAACACAGCTTGAAGTCTTTGGAAGATCGGTCGTGCGTAGCACCTGCCAACCAGGCCTGATAAAGCATAGCACCTGTCGGTCAGGCATAACTACATCTCCACCGAAGCTCCATGCAAGGCGAAGCCGCTCCACCTCCTGCCTCTGACTTTCAGTGCTGCTCCACAAACGATGCTCTCAAGAGAGAAACGACACCGCAGTGCCGCCATAGTCCAATCTGGAACACCAGATCCTAGGGTTTCCCCCGGAGCAGCATGAGTGAGTCGACAGTAGTTACACGACGATGTGTTCATCAAGGTAACGGCGTAGAATGCCGCCATCACCTGCCGTCGGCTTGGTTTTCACCGGCAACCATGTCTCCCCAACTCGCAGCCGGGACTAGATGATGGATCTCGAGATCTGATCACCAAGCCTCTAGCCGGCCACCTCCGACGAAGAAGATGACCACCACCGCTGGCTACACCGGCCAGAACAGATCTGCCAGAGGTGCCACCGAGCAGTCCACCAGGCCCTCGACGCCGTCGCCGATCTAAAGCCAGATGACGTGCCGCCGAAGACCGCAATGCGCCGCCGCCCAATCTAGGCCAGCAGCCGCCCGTGGCCCAAGGCAGGGCCGACCACCGCCGTCATCGTTAAACCATCGCCGCCGCTTCTCGATCGGCCGCACCTCCACGCACGTTGGGGCCCCGCCACCCCTGAGACGTGGGAGGGAGGAAGGGCGGCCACCACTGTCGGCCTCCGGGCGTAGGCCGGTGGCGGCGGGAGGTAGGAAGGAAGATGAGTTAGGCTCCGACGGCAGTTAGGGTTGGGGTGCGACCTGAGTCGCCCGAGTGGGGGGCGACGCGGGGGTGTTTCTCCTACCGAGCCAAGGAGTTCTTGGCGAGCTCAAACAACAATGGTAGCGACGTGTACTACAAGGAAGATGGAATCATCGACAATGACGTGCAGGGGATCACGTCGGTAGGGTACTACGTGTTGAGTGGTGCTCAACCTTGTCCTCCAGATCTTTAGCCAAGTTTCTCAGATCGCGCTTCTCCTATTTTGGCATCCCGTGATCTTTTGTTTTATTTTGCACTGATCATGTTATGACAAGCGGCCAACGGTTTTAGGTTATCACGTCACGCAACTCTGAAAAAAAGAGAACATGTTATCTATCTCATACGGGTTTGATCTTCTGTAATTTTTTCCACAACATGCCTCATAAACATCTTGACACAACGCGCATGCCTGTAACTAAGTCACTCCACATGTGAAGGTAATCATATTAATCAGTTTTCATAAACAAGCGCGGCTCCAACCAATAAACTCGTACAATTATCTTGAAATAAATGGACTTACAATACCAATCTTTGTCACATTGTTTTCCCCTTGAATACAAGCGCATGCGGAGCTTACAAAGGTGGAAACATAATCATGCATTATTGCATCAGTTTACAAAAGTAAAACCAAATCATCCATTATTATGGGCTTAACATAGGGAAACACTACTAGCAGCCGTCTGATAGCAGACGTTTACCAGACCATGCGCGGGTCGTTGATGTCTTTTTTCATCTCACGGTTGAGATGGCCTCCTAAATCCTTTTATTCGTTTCCAAAATACACCATTATCTAGCCACATCATCACCCATAACTCCTCCCGTAATAATCTCACCTACCATAAACGCATCAGTCTCCTCGTCCTATCTCCATAACTACACCCGACAGCGTCAATCTCGTCGTCGCCCCTGTTCTCACCACCATGAACAGCCTCTGTCCATGCCCGTGAAACTAGCCATGCCGGTGCGCTGTCCCATCGTGTGGTTATGCCTGGCATTAGTTACGACGCGCACGACCAGCGAGCTCGCAGCCCCATCGCCGTCTCGGTCATCTACAATTGCTTCGAGCACCACGGCATCCAGTCCACCGCGGTAGATCTTCGTCTCGGTCACCGGATGTATCTGGCACGCGCGGAACATTGCTGGAGTCGCCCCCCTCATCTGCAGGTACCATCCTCATCTCACCTATGGATTGTGGGAGGTCTTGATATAGTTCTACTCCATTGTGTATCTGCATGACAGAATCATTGTCCTCATCCAACCTCTTGGTCCTGACTATCCTCATCATATAGAAAGTATGTTGATATTGCATCCATACCATGCTTCCTGCTTTTCATGATTCGTACATATAGGATTACAACGTCAGTCCTTACAGTTTACTTCATATTTACCACGCCAAGGCTTCTACACTAGGCCAGTTTGCTTCATACATATCAATCTTGTGCTTCTACATTGTGTTTAGTTTTTCTTTGGCTCTATGCCCTGCATGTACTTGTAGGCTCCATGTTTTTTACTTAGTCGACAGCCAAATCATGCTTCCTAAAACGTATATTATGGACAAGCTGCATGTGCCACCCCCTTCCTTATCTTAACACAAAGTTCCTTCCTAGCTCGAGCTCCGCGGTCCCTCCTATCTAGACCGTTGGCTTGCTATGCGATTTGTGCAGGAAAGGAGCGGCACGAGTGCGCAGCGGTTGCATGCAGCGTCATTTGCAGGCGCTGCCGTGCGCAGGTAAACAGTAATCAAACCTAGGTATAGCCCTGTATGCTAGTACTTGTGGGTCCTAGCGCATCTGACTCCCCTCTGTTCTGTCTTATCAGCCGCCCCTCGTCTCCCATCCGCATCTCACCCCGGCGCTGATGGAATCCTCTGCCTCGGTGGTGTCTCCACCTATTTAACTGTTGAAAGAAGCTAGGTCGCTGAGTTTCAGAACCTTAGTGTATACGAGGAGATGGAAAGGAAGACAAAAGAGGATGCCAGATTATAACATACCTCTGATCCAGGCAGATGGAGACGGACGTCATTGCGGATGGATCTGGAGGCGCCGCAATCAAAATCTGTTCGGCCGCTGCCGCTATCGCCATGATGGGCTCCTCTGCCTCGTTGGTGTCTCCACCTCTTTTCCTGTTGAAAGAAGCGAGCTCGCTGCTCTCCAGATCCATGGTGCTGCAAGCAGATACAAAAGAGGAGAAAGAGGATGCCAGAGTAAAACAGCTATGCGTTGCCTGATAGAAGGAACGAGATTACACGCGTCGTACTTGCACAGAGGAGTCGTCCAGTCCTGTTGGTTGTCCGTCGTTCAGTGGAACGCATAGCTGTTTGATGGGCCTAGTCACTGGGGCCGTTCACGTCTTGTCTAGTAGCCTACTAGGCCCATCAAATTCGAATCTTTTGCATCCTCCCGCCAGAGTATTAGGGCTTGATTCCCGTGGCAGAGCTGCTGTTATTCAAACACTAGATGACCCGTTGCGCCAATGGCGCAAAGGCCGAATGTAAGCTAATCGATGTGAGAGTATGCTCTAACATATTATTGTTCAAAAAGAATAGCTTATATACATTGGTTGAATGTGTACAGGATCGATTGGGAAATCTTAATATGAGCTTGTAAGGGTGTGTTTGGTTCAGGAACAAAGTGTAATGGAATGTCATGGTTCCGTTCCATAGAAATGGAATGGTTCCGTCTCTGGAATCAGGCGCCCTTCTTCCCGGCCTTGGCCATGGGCCCGCTGGTGCCACCAGCGTCAGCCGCCACCCTCTCCAACTACCCGCCGAGCACTGGATGCCACCGCTCGTCTTCCCAGCGTGAGCCCCGCCGCCCACTGCCGCCCGTCTTCTCAGCCGTGAGCCGTGCACCCGCCGCCCGTCAGCCGATTCAGGATGAGGCGAGGGAGAGGACCGGCCGGCGGCGCGGATCTAGGAGAGGACCGGCCGGCGGCTTGGATCAGGAGGGATGGATCGAG